AGGACAAAAGAACTTTAAAGAAATCTTAAACCTCACTCAGCAAATGTATTGTTTTTGATATTTTAGTACTGGTATTTTTAATTTAGAAACTTTAAATATATTTTGTAGGAACCAAGATTTTCAGTGTAAGAGAAAAGAGAGACAAATGTAAAATCAATAAAGAAAAAAACCAGTCATGTTAAATTTGAATTGGGAAATCCATGTATGAACTCATAATTAGAAAAATACATTTCCTATAGCTGAACACTGAAAAGGCCTAGAAGCAATGACACCCAGTAGCAGAGAGAACATCTATTGCCCGCATCTTAGTCCTAATTTCTATTCCCAAATTGAAGGAACCAGAGTAACCTTGGAGCAATGACTGAGTCCAAGTCTGTGATAGGGAAGGTACGTAAGTGATCCTGGGACATCTTGTGCCAGTAGGCCAGGAAGTTGTCCAAGACTATTGTTACCATGTCAAAAAGACATAGTATCCATTCATCCAGGGAAGGGACCTGTACTGGCTGAAAAAGAATAATGATTGCAATCGACCGAAACAACTTAAATCTTAAAAAACTCGTGAATCCACATGATACTTAAAAAGCGAATAGGCCAAAAAATATATATATCATTTTCCACTACTTGAAGTAGATATTAAATCAAACCCTTTACTTTGAAAATTGGTCATTATAGGGAAAAAAGTAAGCATTTATCCTGTTTTTTTAAGGTTAATGAGGAAGAGTTCTTTTTCACAGAAGAAATTTCTGTTTATGTAGGAATTAGAGGATTATTTAATCACCAGATATTTCATTATTAGTTCAGGAAAGATTTATCAGTAAATGACCAAACCATGGTGAAAATTTGTTGGGGAACAGGAAATTGGCATGGTACCAAAGCCTTACTCTGCAACTACTTAACTACTAAGGATGAAATATACCTAAAAAAGAGATGTAATAGTCACCACCTTAACCAAGTGGTCAAACTTGAAATCAAACTAGTAATTTGATGTATCTCCTGGTATAATACAAAACGAAAAACATATCTATATTATGACATATTCTTGCCAAAATGTGTAACCCGAATCTAATCACTATTTTAGCATACATTTTAGTTTAGGAAACATGGGAAAGAGGAACATATTAAATGATACTACAAGAAAACAATCAGATATATCCAGAATATGAACTATTCCTAGGGACAACTGGTGAACTCTCTTAAAAAATTCATAAAAAATAAAAAGATGGGCAATAACTAGAGATATAACAACTAAATGCAATGCTTGAAATTTGATTGGATCCTGATTTGTAAAAACCTCCTATAAAGACATTTTTGGGCTACTTGGGAAAATTTGAATATGGACTGAATAGTAAATTATACAAGGAAATAATTGTTAATTTTCTTACGTGTGATATGTATTGTAGATATAAAGGAAATTTCTGAGATATTCTCAGAAAACACAAGCTGATTTATTTTGGGATGAAGTGTCACGATGTCTGTGATTTACTTGAAAATTATTTTGCAAAAAACCAAACTATATATGTAAATACATACATATAAAGCTAACATGCCAAAATGTTAGCCATTGGATCAAGATGATGGGTATACAGGTATTCTTTGTATTGTTCTTTGAACTTTTATCTCTTTAAAGCTTTTCATTAAAAACATTGGGAAAAGATATTGGCATTTGAGTCAAACTTTGAAGAAGAGAATGTGAATACTATTCTTTTTTTTTTTTGCGGTACGCGGGCCTCTCACCGTTGTGGCCTCTCCCACTGCAGAGCACAGGCCCCGGACGTGCAGGTTCAGTGGCCATGGCTCACAGGCCTAGCCACTGTGCGGCATGTGGGATCTTTGTGGACCGGGGCACGAACCTGTGTCCCCTGCATCGGCAGGCAGACTCTCAACCACTGCGCCACCAGGGAAGGCCTAGAATGTGAATACTATTCTTAAAGACATGTTCTTACACTAGTTCATTTAAGACAAACTTAGAAAACAGAAAAAAAAAATTATGTGACACAGAGATAACTACTTTTAATGTTTTGAGGCACTATATATATATATATATATATATATATATACACACACACAGTCATCCATGGGTATCCCCAATGGATTGGTTCTAGGACCCACCTTCCTGCCCCCTACAGATACCAAAATCTGTGGATGCTCAAAGTGCTTTACATGTATAAAATGTTGTAGTATTTGCATTTAACTTATGACCATCTTTTAAATCCCTTCCAGATTACTTATAATACCTAATACAATGTAAATGCTGTGTAAGTCATTGCAAATACAATGTAAATCCTATGTAAATCGTTGGGAGCAGCAGCAAATTCAATTTTTGCTCTTTGGAACTTTCTGTATTTAAAAAAAATTTTTTTTCAATCGATGGTTAGTTGACTCTGAGGATGCAGGATCCACGGATATGGAGGATGGACTGCGTATATTTACATATATATATACATACACTGTACATCCTATATAATGTACACTATTTTTGTATTCTGTTTCTTCACTTTACAACATCATGTATGTCTTTCTGTCAGTAACTGTACATTAGCATCAGTTTACTAGCTACATGACATTCCATTGTAGAGATGTCTTATGATGTACAGTAGTCTCTGCTGCCCTCCACCACCACCCCCGCCCCCCGGCTCCCCACCATCCACAGTTTCAGTTACCTGCGATCAATCTTGGTCTGAAAATATTAAATGGAAAATTCCAGAAATAAACAATTCTTAAATTTTAAGCTGTGTATCGTTCTGAGTAGTGTGATGAAATCTGGTGCCACTTAGCCGTCTTGGTTATCAGCTTGACTGTGGAGGTATCTCAGTGCTTGTGTTAAGTTAACCCTTATTTTACTTAGTAATGGCCCCAAAATGCCACAGTAGTTAGGCTGGCAATTTGGATATGCCAAAGAGAAACTGTAAAGTGCTTTCTTTAAGTAAAAATGTGAAAGTTCTTGCTTTATCAAGGAAAGGAAAAAAATCATGTTCTGAGGTTGCTAAGGTCCATGGAAGAACAAATCCTGTACCTGTGAAATGGTGAAGAAGGAAAAATAAATTCATGCTACTTTTGCTGTTGCACCTCAAATTACAAAGGTTATGGCCATAGTACGTGGTAACTGCTTAGCTAAGGTGGAAAAGGCATTAACTTTGTACAATTAGATATTCTGCGAGAGATAAAGCGCACGTGCACAAAAGAGCACAATTCACGTAACTTTTACCAGTTTGTTGTTATAATTGTTCTATTTTATTATTGTTGTTAATCTTCTATTGTTCATAATTTATAAATTAAACTATGATAACATAGGTATGTACAGGAAAAAATAGTATATATAGGGTTTGGTACTACCCCCTGTTTCAGGCATCCACTGGGGGTCTTGGAACATAGGATAAGGGAGCTACAGAGGATAAGAGAGAGGGAGGGATTACAGTGTTTAACTAGTCCTCTATTGTTGGATGGTGCAATAAACATCTGTAATATACACCCTTTGCTCATGTGTCTGATTTCTTGGAAGTGTAAGAATTCAGGCTGTAAAATGTAAAATAGATAGCTAGTGGGAAGGAGCCACACAGCACAGGGAGATAAGCTCAGTGCTTTGTGACCACCTAAAGGGGTGGGAAGGACACATAAGAGGAGGAGATACGGGGGATATATGTTTATGTATAGCTGATTCACTTTGTTATACAGCAGAAACTAACACACCATTGTAAAGCAATTATACTCCAATAAAGATGTTAAACAACAAAAAAAAGAATTCAGGCTGTGGAAAGGGCAGAGGTGGAAATATGAGCAGAGGCATGGGAGACTGAAAAGAATAAGGAGTGTATGGGAAAGGCTGAATAGTTTACTTTGGACCATTGCCCACTGTAGACGATAGGGTGTTATAAGTCTTATGATGATGCTTGAAGGTAAAAGAGTTTGAGAAGACCTGCTCTCACTTAATCTTGGACTATGCCAAGTACAGTTCCAAGCACTTTTACATGTATAACTTATTTAAATTGCAGGTACTGGGAATTCCCTGGCGGTCCCGTGGTTAGGACCCCACACTTACACTGCTGAGAGTGCAGGTTTCATCCTTGATGGGGGAACTCAGATCCTGCAAGCCTCGCGAAGCGGTAAGAAAAAAGCAGGTATTGGGCTTCCCTGGTGGCGGAGTGGTTGAGAGTCTGCCTGCTGATGCAGAGGACACGGGTTCGTGCCCTGGTCCGAGAAGATCCCACATGCCGCGGAGCGGCTAGGCCCGTGAGCCATGGCCGCTGAGCCTGCGAGTCCGGAGCCTGTGCTCCGCAACGGGAGAGGCCACAACAGTGAGAGGCCCGCGTACAGCAAAAAAAAAAAAGCAGGTATTATTATTACTCGTAATTATAGGCAAGGAAACTGAGGCATAGAGATGTTTAATTGCCCACGGTTACCCATCTAGCGAGAGATGACGCCAGGTTTCAAATGAATGCAGGCTGGCTCCAGAGCCGAAGCGCTATTATCAAGAACCATGGTGGGATGCTGAGCTTAAAACCTGGGCCTTACTCACTTCAAACCTTAGACACATGAGTAAACGGTGACGGATAAATTAAGATGGACTTGATCTGTCCCTTTAATACCGCAAAAGCGTGAAGAGCATTAGCTGAGACCATAGAAAACTTCATAGATTCCTTATCTCCAAAATATAGGAAGCATTTAACACTTAGCATTGCTCAATAGATGGCCAGCTTGCCTGAACTGAACCGATTTGCAGACTTCAACAGTGAAGAGGCGCGCTCCACAGCTTGATAATTAAATTCCAAAAGGCGCGCGAGCCTCCGTGGAAAACAGTTTCCCGCCTCCCAGCCGGTTGCAGCTCGCTCAGCAACAGCCTCTCTACTCGAAGGCCGTGACGTCCCGCGCTTGCATTGGGCCCGCCCCCTGGGATCTTTCTGCTTCTGCGCGGTTGAGTAATCGATGATTTTGCTCTCTTAACTCCGCCCTCTGCCCCGGAAGTTAATGCAGAAGCCACACACCCCTCCTTGGCCGGCCCGGGCGCAGCCATTTTAATTCATATCTGAGTGGGCGGTGGCGGTTCTTGTTGGCGGTCTGGCTCCGCAGGGCAGGGGGCAATTTTAGTTGTTTGGGGGTGGTTTTTAGTTTAATTTTTCTTTTGTAGCTTGGCATCGCGGGCCAGTTCGCACGTTCTAGTCGTCTGAGGCCATGTCAGGAGACGGAGCCACGGAGCAGGTGAGGAAGGAGAGTGGTGGGGCCTCGTGGCGACCTCTTCTCTCTCCGTCTCTGTTCGTCCGAGTTCTCCAGCCATGTTCGCTGAGGAGAAATCAAGGGTCTAATGAACCCGAAAGACAGGGTTCAGAAGTACGGTGGTAATGGGGAGCAAGATCTGACTGAGATTTAAAACTTTTTTGGCTTCTCTGTCTTAGGCGTTAAGATGAACAAATATTTGATTTAGACAATAGCCGGGAAGCTACTTCGTCCTGTTTAGATTCATGGGACTTCTCCGGTGAGAGTCCTTCCTTTAATACCATTTTGGTGTTAAGGGGTTAGGAATTGATTGTTTTAACGTGTACTCGCTGTTTTCGAAGAACTTGACAGTGTTCCCTTCACCGCCTTTCCGATATATACTGTACCCAGAAAAAGGTTTGAGAAGTAATTTAAGATGAAACTAACCTGGAGAAATAGACTTTTGCATGAGCGAATGAAGAAGGAAGCAGTTTAGGAGTAAGAGCATCGTTATGCTAAGATTTGGGAATTTTGTGGCTTTCTCCTGCTCCTTCCCTTTCTTCTATCAGCATTTCATTTTCATTTTTCCAACGAAACAAGTAATTGTAGAATTTGATAAATCGGAAATGAGAAGTATGTTTGGGCCACTGTAAGTAAAAGCATCTGTTTTTTAGTACTGGATATGTGATATCTAAGTATTTTAAAATTCAGATTCTTAATTAAATGATTTGTTTCTTTTGCTCATTATTCAGAATTTTGTAGGAGAGTATTTACCTTTGAGTTTGAAAGAGGAAACTGGTGTTTTATGGAAGCTGTCAATTTTTCGTTTCAAGTCTGGTATGTTTAGGTAAATAGTTTTTAAAATGGAGGCTAGCTAGACTGCAGTCTCAATTTCCTGAAATTTCCCATTGCCATAGCAACGAAATACACTTAGGTTTTCGTTTTTGAAGTCCCCAGCTTTTAACGTGGGGGCTGTTCTTGGAGGTTGACAGAGATGAGGCAGAACTGGCGTGTTCCTATTGAATATGGTGACTGTAAATTTTATTATGTCGGGAAAGTTTGGCTAAACTGAATTTTGTGTTTGCTCGTCGACTGATTTCAGTCCTGAAATTTTCACAGTATTTACATTTTACATGCTGTTAGAATGCCCAAGAATGCCAAGTCTTAAAATCGTTATGTCAAGTCTGTTTTTGTATACCTACCCTTTTTCTGGGCTCATGTTTTGTCACCTGAAAGTAGAGGAGGAGTAATGTACTGAGGTGTTCATTGAAAGCTTCCCGAATTCATTGTTAATTTTTAAATTTATCTAAAATTGTAAACACACTGAAATGTTGCCATGACCTTTCATTTCAGAACTGTGGTGTTTTAAGTGGGAGAGAAGGTGGTAAAAATTTAAAGAAAAAAATTTCACCCAAAAGTTTTTATGTGTAAAGTTTAGGACAAGGAAAAGTGCAGTGAACAACTGCAGTACAGTTCTTCACCTAGAATCGACAGTTGTTGAGTGTTTTGCCATATTTGCTTTATCTCCTTGTATATATTTATTTGAAAGTAAGTGACATATTCAGCCCCCCTTATTTCAGCATTCTCTTATACAGTATAAGGCATTATTGCTGTTATATAACCATTATACCATTTCCCACCTAAGAAAATTAATAGCAGTACCGTATCATTACTAAAAGTAAGTCCTAAGAATGTGATTCATAGGGTTTTATTATTTTAAAAATCAGAATCTACACTAATATGTATAAAATGGATAACTAATAAGAACCTGCTATGTAAAAAAATAAAATTAAATTAAAAAAAATCAGAATCTAGTCTAGGTTAGTTGCATCATTTGGTTATGTCTCTTGAATCGTTCTTCTTTTTTCTCCCCTAGGATATTTATTGTCTATTTGAAGAATCCAGAACAGTTCTCTTGCAGAACTTCTCATTTTATGTCTGGGCTTATTTGATTTGTGTTTGTGTGGTGTCATTTAACTTGTCCCCTCATCTTCTGTATTTCCTGAAAATTATGGTTATGTCTAAACTCAGAGCTTTGATAGTATTCAGGTTAAATATTTTTGTGTAGAATACTTTATAACATCACATCAAAAGGCACTTCATGCTAGGTTCCAGTGTTAGTAATGGTTAAGTTTGCTCACTTGGTCAGGGTTAGGGTAATGACTGCTGGATCTCTTCATTGTAAAGGATTATTTTCCCCTTTGCAGTTAGTAATCTGTGGGTTGATAACTGTGTTCCTCAATAACCTTTTATCTAGTTATTTATCATCAATTGATAATCTTTAAATAAATCAGTTGTTTCCTTGAAAGTGGCAAATGGTGGTTTTTAAAAAAATCCTATTCTGTCTCTACTTACTGGCTCATATTTTTTCCTCAAAGATGAAATTCCTTTTTTCTTTTCCCCTCCTTTTAAAAGATTGAGGATAGCTGTGGATTCATGGGGTTTCTCTGTATTTACTATGTTAAAATCAGCTATAACCTTTTCTTTTTCTTTTCTTTTTTTTGTTTTTTAAATGCTTAACTTGTCCTAGCCTTTATGGTGCCTCCTATATGCTATATATTTTTTCCATCAGTCAGTAAGACATGTTTTGACATCTGATGATCAACAGATAGTTATCTTCATATAATCTTTTAAACTCTTTAAAGATACATTTCAAACATGCAAGAAAAAAAGAATAGTATAACGTATGATGTTTCTATCATAGAGCTTCAACTCACAGCAAAACATGTTTTCTCCATACTTTCACTTACTCTCCCCACCTCTATTACTTAGAAGCAAATCGCAGATGCTGTATTATTCAACTTTAACTGAAATGGTAATTAAATGATACCTTAAAAAGTGACATGATCAAAAATAGGAATCAGCTCGCTTGATGTGTAAGGCAACAGTTAATGAAAATTTAGAGGAAAAATGAGATGATGGACAAGGAAAAAAAAGACTAAACAAAACTGAAGAATAATAAGAAAAACATCAAAACCACTCTGAATCATGGATTTGCTTTGGAAAGATGGTAAGGGTGGGATAGAGAAAGAATCCTGTGAGATATGAATTACAGATTTATTTTAGCTGGTTAGCATTGAAACTCAAAAAAAAGTTTTGTTCAGTAAACCTGATAATATCTTAAATTTGTTATTCAAAAATATAGATGGTCCTTTCTTCGTACTGAATCTCTAGACTTGTGCTGTATGAAAGAGGGAAGTGATTGTAGACAAGCAAAATCACAGCTAAGGTTTATTGTGATTTTTTTTTTTTTTTAACTCTTGTAAGGAAGTTCTGTTTTACATTTAGAGGGCTATTTAAATTACCTTGCAGTTTTGATGCGTATTCTTCTGGAGCTTCGTGTTTACTGTTTTTGTCAGTTTAATGGTGACAAAACCACCTGCATATAGGTTTTGTTAGGTTTTCCCCCTAACAAAAGCACATCTGGTTCCCGTGTGGAATTATGGCTATATTTTTATCGTGTACATTTTTTTTTTACTGCTTAATTCAACTTCTGATCTCATTCTTCACTCCATTTTACCTTGTGCATCACCTCTACAGAATTTAATAGGCTATTGGTTAGAGTTTCTCCACTGGGTTTTGAGTTGAAAGGCTGCCTTAGTTATTCACCATTGCACCTTAAAAACCTAGAAACACTGTTTTGATAATTAAAAGTGTTCACTAAATAAATGGATAAATTTTTGCATTCAGGCTATATGTTACAAAATTTTAAAGAATTGTATCTTTTGGGAATACAGGTGCTTATAATTATTGTTAATAATTAATACAAAGTAAAATATTTTGGGGCATAAGAGTGAATGGTTTCTCAAGTTTTGTTATATGTATTTGGCCAAGTCAATTCCCATGAACCTTTAAGTCCCTAAAATTCTGTTTCTACACTTTTGTGTTTTAGGAATAAGATTTGAGTTTTCAAACAATTCATAGCCTATTCTAGAATTAGGAAGGCCTGAAGTATAAAAAGAATGATCCTTACTTCGGAAAAATTGCATGACTTGAAGGAGCACAAATTAATTGCCAATAATTCTTAACAAAAGGGGAATTTAGGGCCATAAATAATTGTTTTGCTTTGGGTGAAAAATAAGTTTAGTAAGATATAGAAAATATGAAAAATATGTGTTCGATTATATACTTACTAATGAGGAAAGAAAGATGAAACACTCAATGTTGAAACCTGATTTATTTTGTTGAGTAACCATTAATATCTAGTAGGGCTTAAAGGGAAATAGTGCCAATTTTAAACCCAAGTGGATGTGTGGAGGTTAGTAGAGGGAGGGAAAGGCCAAGAATATATGTTATAACAACAGTGTGTTCTTTGGATCCAATTATTCTTATCTGTTGTTAACAAAAGCTTTCTGTAATAGCCTTTCCTACTTTTTCCCCCCTCCTATTTTAAGATACTTAGTATAATAGTTTGGGGCAGGCAAATTTGATTTGATCTTATTGTTAATATTTCTTGAGGAAACTGACTACATAGAATACTCTATTTGGCAGTAATTATTCCTAAGAGAGATTGATCTGTGTTTACAGAAATATTGGTTTTCCGGAGAAGTACAACAGAAGGAGATTGTGTTAGAAGAGATTGCATTCCCTCAGCATTAGGAATACAGAAATTTACATCCTAGGTAGACCTTCCAGAATGGCAAAATCTGTTCAGATGTTTGTACCTATTCAGTGGATGATTGGAAAAAACAGTTCATAGTTTTAAGCTTTTCTGCCATTGTCTCTAAATCTTTATTCCTCTTTAGACAAGACCTAGTTGTGAATTTGAGTCTTTTTGTTTTTACTGAACAGTTGGTAATGGTGTGAGAATTGATTTTAAAATAGATTTTAGTTAAACAAATGTTTAAACTATTTTTAGATTAATGGATAGGTTATAATCAGCAGTAAATATTGAATAAAACCAGAAGCGTAAAGCTGTGTCTAATTGTTGTTTTCTAATGTTTCACTTAGTTTATCAAGTGAATTAATATTTTGGCTACTCCTGGTCTGAAGCTGCATTTTTCAAA